GTAATAAAAGGTACAAAAAAGATAAAGTAGTACCTACATTAATACGAAAATATTATTTGTAAAATGATTACAAAGTGGAAATCAAATCTTATTTTTATTGGTTTTGTCCTTCTTCTGATTAATCTATCGTATTTAATTAGATCAAAACAATAACTTATTTCATCGACCTTTAAAATTTTATTAACTTATTATTTTAACAAAAGCCTTGCAATAATCGAACAAAGAATAACAGCTGTTTTATTTGTCGTACTTATCAGACAACTTAAAATTCCTGCTGTATCTCGCAGTTTATGTTGACAAATGTTTGTACTAGCGTCTGGTTATGTAATTTACAACGTTATCATCAGTGCTGGATTATGTTGTTTGAAGAAGTAGACATTTGGTCTAGCAAATAAAATAAGAATGTGATACGAATTGAAATACTAAATTAACATTCCGTACCAAAATTAATAAACAAAACTTTCGAGGGGTGTTGTCTAGGGTACTAGGGTTCCGCTGTCTTAGCACCTTGCATATATTTTCCTTCTGAAATATCACAAAATGATCATAAAAGGTCCCATTAACTTTTATTGTTAAGATTTTCAGGGTCACTGAAAAATTTTAACATCCCCTCCATTAATTATAAATAAAATTAGTGAAGGATATTCAATAAAAAAATTATCTGGTGATAATTGGTCAGATAAAATAAAATATTGTTTTTTTAATACAGAATCCATATCAAATTCAAAAATCAGAATTGTGAAGGAAATCTTTAGTACGTAAAATTTCGTTAAACAGTCATTTACTTGTTTAGATACGTATCATCATCATTAGGTCGTCAGTCCTAAGACTGGTTGAACACGTACCTCCATCTTTCCTATCCTGAGATAATCTTCACATTTGACATTTTTAATTACTAGTAGTGGTTAATATGTAATATTAATGTGAAAATTCATTTTAGACTTTCCATCCACTACAAACTTCATATTTTTCCTCTCTAACCTGAAGAAGTTCGTAGTGGATGGAAAATCGAAAATGAATTTTCACATTAACATCTTCACATTTCCCTAAAACTAAAATATCCCACATCCTTAACTATTTGTGAACAGTGACCTAATCTAGGTCTACTTCTTTAAGTTCCGTTTCTGCTTCTGATAAGTCTCCAACAAGCCCTTCATGACTGAGATGTCCTATCTCGTCTATTTCTTATTGACTTCCTTAGTGAGCTCTGTTCTCCTATTCCTTCTGATACCTCTTCATTTCTAACCTTCTCTATCCACGGTATCCTCATCATTCGCCTGTGACCCCACATTTTGAACGCTTCTAACCTTTTCTATTCCGCAGTAGACATATACAAATTTTTTTATTAATAAAAACAGTTGAGCATATTATTCTGACCTCTTAAACCAAAGTTTTGGCTTATTTGATTGGGGTTTACTGTAACTGAGTATAAAAATTTCATTATACTTTATAATTTATTTTAAATTTNTACAAGTAACCAACAATACAAGATGCACAAAATCAATTCAAATTTTCCTAGACGATTTCTGACACATTCCAGTGATAGTATTTTATGAACGTTTAGTAGTATCATATAAAATAGAAATGAATAAAAAAGTCAGATAGGCAAGAATCAGTATCTTATTATCTTTAACAAATAGCCAAAACAAACGAGGACGACACTGACTAACAATTGACGGACTCCAGTATTGTTAGTAATCAATTACTAACCAGATTCAGAGCGCCAGTCACAAATTAACAAACGGACTATCGGTTACTAAAAATGAACACGTGACTCTCGATTTATGAAGGCACTGTATATGTTTCTAGTCACATCTGTCTGAAAATATCGCCTGCTTCTCTGGAAACTGCCCTAAATAACAGAACTCTCAAAATCTTTTGAACAAAGCACATCACCTTTCAAAATTGCTGAAGGTACTTGGACGAATTTTCCTACACCACGTTGTATTGTTTAAAAGATGATGCCGCCGTTTGATGACAGCATGCAATGCAAAGTGTACACTTAATTCAATTACTTTAAAATAACTAGAATTTCTCCATTTCTCTAACCCAAAATTTCCTCAATCAGGTCAACGATTGTCCACGTAAATACCACTAGGTGATGATGTGGTCAAGTTTGTTTTTGTTTGCTCTATTTTAAAAGCGAACAGAGTATACTAAATTTTTTATTACTAGAAATGGTGTGTGATCAAAATTCAACCAAACACTTCCATGCTTCTATTTGACATCCAGTAAGCTTTGGATAGAGTTTAGTACGAAGATCTCATCTCCAAGTTTATTGTCCTCAAAATTCCCTAATTTCCTAATCGGAGTTATTAGATCCTTCCTCAGATCCTTCCTAACCTAACCAAACGTCACAGACGCAACCACACACTACTTCTGGGGCCGCCGACAAACCAACCCTTTTTGCCAATGTTCTCGACTTCAACCTCACGGTTGAAGCGCCTGCAGATCTTACATACGTCACTGCTCCCACAACTTCCTGACATTTTTGACATCTACGTCTTAAAAAAATGTTATTCTTTCGGCTGATCCCACACTTCTTGACGCTCTAAGCTCCGACCACCTTCCAGCACTACTTGAAAGCGGCTGCCCATCCCTCAACCTCCCAAACCTAACAACTTCGCCAAACTGGTTACATCTCCGCTACACCCTCGAAATATCCTCAATTCGCACTACAGCGGAACTCAACGAAGCTGTCAATCTCCTTTCAAACCAGATTACCGGCGAACTCAAGCTCTCCACGAGAATTCACCCCTCCTCCTCCCCAGAGAACCCCCGGCAGACATTCTTGCCCTTGTTAAGAGGAAAAACAAAAACCGCCGTCTGTGGTAAAAACATCATGATCCCGAACAACGTGCCTACCTTGCAACCCGTCTCACCGAATTCCGTAGCGCCACCATCGACGATTACATCGCTCAGACAGAAACACACCACAAAAGCACCTGGCAAGTGATCCGCTCTCTCCGACACAGAGCTTCACACCTCCTGCATCGAAAACAAAACGGTTCCGCATACACTTCAGAGTTCAAAAGTTACAGTCTTCGCAGAATATCTCTGTCTCCAGTGTTCCCCACTGTGGACCACCGACTTTCATGAGCGAACTATAGACGCCTCCCAAAATTTCGCCCCCTCTGTCTCCGGCTTTAAACTCACGTCCCCCCGCGAAATTTTCCTTACTATTCAATCTCTGAAAAAGGGAAACGCCTCATGTACGGACGGAACTCCCAACGGTGTCCTAAAAGACCTACCACCAAAACACATAACCGCACTCTGCATCATCGCGCACGCTATCATGCGGCTCCATCAAGCTGCAGGTCCATCAGCCTACTCAGTTCACTGAGCAAAGTAGTTGAATACATCCAGTAAGCCTTGGATTGAGTTTAGTACGAAGATTTCATCTCCAAGTTTATTGTCCTCAAAATTCTCCATTTTCTAATCAAGGTTATTAGATCCTTCCACTCTAATAAAACCCTTAGTTGTTAGCTGTGCCTTATCTCCCAGGAAACTCACCACTTTTTTTCAATCTGTTCTGCGTAGACATTCCCCCCATCCCTAATTCTCACTGCTCTCTACGCCGATGGCATCGCCCTTTTAAACTCCGCCTAAACTATTTTCCGGTTCTCTACCAAAATTAACAAGTTTCTGCCCCTACTCCTGAATTGGTACCGAAAATGGAAACTCTCCATTAACGAGATAAAGTTGCGTAGGATCCGAAAATCATCCCCTATCATCGTTAACAACCATCCCATCAAATGGAGCTTTTCCATCACTGATCTGAGCGGTATTTTTCACCGGAAAGCGGAAACACATCCAAGCCACCTGTTCCAAACCCTTGGGTGCCTCCATTTGCTTCAAGCCCTTCTTCCAAGCCACCTCAAACCAAAATCCGTGCGTTCAACGCAATCATCTATATCTGCTCAAACATCATTCCTATCTGAGGGCGCGCACATTCCAACAGCCTACAACTTCTTCGAACCGCATTCGACTACCCCTGGTTCGTCAGGAAAGCACAAATTCTGAAAGAACTCGATCTGCCTTCACTCCTCGAGGTTACAATCAGATTCGCGGAAAACTTCCAGACCACAGTGTCAGGTCACCCAAACCCGTTCATCTCGTCACTTTCCCGTCGCTCGTCACGACCGTTTGAGAAAGCCCTGCCACCTTCTACACTGAGCAGCTTCCTCCCTGCTCATTTCCAGTTTCGCCTTTTAGCGCGAGTACCCACCCTATCCATCCGAGGTGGGCCACCAATTTCAATTTCATACAACTTCCCCTCACCAGATTATTCATCTCCTACACTCACCCCCTTCCCATTCCCAACCTTTTTCACAGAACCTTCCGTGGAATGTAAAACGTGCGGGTTGATCTCCCTAATTGAAGAGGGATTTTAGTCGGTAGACGCTTCGGCTAATCCGACACTACCCCCTTTTAGGAGGTGTCCTTTCAAGATTTCCTCTACTCGAGAAAATACAAAAAAAAAACGTAATCGCCAGTCCACATCTAGCATCGGAGATGAATGAAGCTATGAAAGAGCTCGTCACTCGTGCTAGCGAAACGTTAGGAAGCAACTCCAACCGACAACGGTTTTTACAGTTACACACAAATCAGGACAGCATCAGTTCACCTACTGGCCGCGAAACACCACCAATGTTATTACAAATTTATTACTTCTTTCAAAAACGCAAAATACTTAATTTAATATACAAAAGTATTTATTTTTATAACATTATAAGAAGTTATCACATTCTTTTTATTTTAAGTACAAAAAACATAAACAGTCCAATATATAAGATCAATTTTCAGATAAACTAAAAACTAAGAAACACTATAAGAGTGGCAAAAATGAATATTGCTACAACTAGAACATATCAATACCAGACTAAGGAGTAGACGGAAGGAGCGAACTCCTGCTCTCTGGTCTTAGGGGGGGGGGGGCTCCAAATTTCGAAAAGTCCTTGGTGAAATCGCAAACAAGGCCAAAATACATACAGTAAATGTAAGAAGCATTTTGGACTTTATTGGCCCCACATGTATGCAAAATATTTCATACCTACACATCTATTTAAACTACAAATACATCAATATCTAAGCAGACTGGGACCTCACATGTGTATATAATTAATGAAATAACTAATAAGTTTAACATATAAAGTTAATTAAATTAGGTATGTATATATAAGGGTTCGTTTGTTTTATTTCATAAAAAAAGAAATTAATGTGAAAGTGAGTAAACATCAGGAGATTCAATTTCTTTTCCAATATCATCGAAATGATCTAAAAACATTCGAACCCTTTCATCAGATATATAAATAACAAAAACTAGGTTTAATTAACAACTTATTAAAATTGATCTGGAAAATAATTCGGGTAAAACAAATGCCATCCTATCGCAACTCCGATCGACATTAGACAGGCAACCAGACATAACCATCCGATAATTGTCTTCTTCTTGCTGGGTTGAAAAGCCCTCAGTACGAATATGCCAAGGAGAAGGCCAGTCATTGCACCGGCTGTATGCGCAGAGTCGCTTACAGTGGTAATACCGGAAACAAATCGATTGTGCAATGACGAAGCAATGGAATAGATTAACACTGTCAGGTTAAGGATTAATTTTACAGCTGGGGCTTCCAATTCCGACCAGTTCTATAATGAAAAAAAAAATAGAAATTACATGTAAACATTTACAGTACCCAACAAGAAAATTGACATTGCCACTAAAAATAACAGAAAAACCTAGAATCTCATTTTGTAATAAAAAGAATTGCAAATTAATTTTTTTCAAAAACTTAAGTACACTTTTATGCAGGGATCATTGAGTAACTAAAATTATGACACCATTTTGGGTGTATCCTCTAGGAGTATCCCAAAGTCATTCCTTAAAGAAAGGTCACCTTCTATTGCCTGGACAATAACTTCATGAATAAAATAAAAAAAGTTTTACTTAAACTGGCAATGAAAATAATTTGGTGTAATACGGGGAAGCATAGATTAGCAAAGGAAATCTAACATTAAACCCAAAAGCATTATTGTGACAAAAACATTTATTAATTAAGTGTAAATTTTATTAGAAATATATCATGAAGTAAAGAGCTGCGTACAGTTTCAGAAACAAATAGAATATCAAAGTGAATATTTGAGATTATTGAACTTTCGCTAGAATGCGATGCCAAAGTGTGTGTATTTTTTTAAACTCCCCATGCACAATACCATGAATGAAATTAGTGACATAACGGGCGGACTCGATTTTTACAATTTATAAAATTAAACAGATTTAAGCAACTCAGTAATGCCGCAGTTAGATAATGTGGTACTATGAACAAAACTTAGCGGAAGAAACGCAGTTTTGATTTTCTTTTAATTATATTCCGTATAGAGAAGAGTAAGTAATAAGATCATCTAGATTAGGTTCAAAGAAATGATGGTTTGTTAAAAAAATACTGTTACAAGAAATAAAGAAGATCGGTTAGTCACAGAAACCTAAGCGCTTCTTGTTTTTTTTTTACAACTTACAGGTCTGATTATCTAAATTTAATTACAATTTTACTTACCTCTTTTGAATACCTAATCAAAAAGTTTGTTACTAACAACAAATATATACAAAAGCAAACCTGTCCCTAAACGTGCAGATCATNGTTTAAGTCTCTGAAGTTAAACTCATATTTTTATTTTTATCCGGAATAACGTTACATCCAAAACGGAAAATATAAACCGAACGTTTTTACATAATGTCACACTGTTACTCCCCCTTTAAATTCTAATCCATCAGTTGTGACCTCTTCCAATTATACATTTATAAATAACAGATCCGTTCTAAAATCTTGCCAAACAATGAAATAATTCAATTAGTGGAAGCGTTAGTAGCGGCTGAGATAATCTACCATGACACACAAAAAGATGCGTTACGTTTAAATGATGTACCCAAACTAGGAAAAGAATTCTTCAAATTGTAAGTTTTAACGGCATGGGGTGATTGCTGTTATTTAAAGGAATTGAAAACAAATTTGAAAATGATGATGCTTTTTTTCATTCAATTCTTCGGGCCTCACAAATCTAATACATTATGTTTCATTTCCACCAGGTAATGTTCATGGGGTGAATTCAAACGAACATACACACTTCCAGAAAAGTAAACACTAAGAACACTCAAAACACTAGAAACGTTGCTAAATACACTAAAAAGCTAGTTATTAATAATGGTGGGCAGGCAGTCCGTCTGGACTACCCCTCCTTTTAGGAATCGTGGAGACGAGTGGGTGATGGTTGGGGTGAGGAAATTGTCGGACGAAATGAAGACAGATGTGAAGTGAAAGATTATAAGTGGGTTATCATTAGTGCCCCAGAATTTGTTTAAGTGATTCAAGGAGACAACAAAAAGCATGAACCAATGAAGACGGACCTGGAACCGGTGTTCTCCCAAGTGCTGAGTCTAAACTTGTATGCAAAGCCGTTCGAACAAAAATTTTTGGGTGTTTCATTCCCACCAGTCACTAATGCTGGTAGGCGGGCGGAAGGCCCTCTTCAGCCTCCTTTCAGGAATCGTGGGAATGGGTGGGTGGTAGTTCGGGTGAGAAAGATGAGACGGACAAAATGAAGACAGAAGAGAATGAAAGATTATCTGTGGAATATTAGTGCTACAGCATTTGCCTAAGTGATCCAAGGAAACCACAGAAAAACTTGGACGAAACAGACGGACCCGGAATTGAACCGGCACCCTTCCGAATGCTAAGCAATGACCTGCAAAGCCGCTCGACGTTCAAACGCCTTTTAAACATTTGTCCCCTCCCTAACAAAATATTGTAACCGAACAGCTCCGAATTTCACCGATCGCAATTCCGAACGGTAGAAACGCGGTTAGTAGTACCTAGTAGGTATCGATATAACATGTGCTGATGTTTGACGTCATTGACGTTGTGGCTGTTAATAGCAATCTTCAAAAGGTTTTGGTTCGTTTTTTGAAAACTGAAAAGTGGTGTGCATGTGATGATTTATGTTCAGCACACGTATGTGTTTTAACAAACTGTCATAGAACAACAAGAAAAGTTTTGTGGTTATGTTGTCGTACACACTTCACATTTCTGAAAGATTCTCGTTCGCCCTAAATATGTGAGTACAAATGTAAATCATTACCTATATTAAGAAAAATACAGATTAAATAATATATAATTATACAACTGAATATTGGTAGGCATTTACATATTTTCATGAGTCTAGGTTATTCGTTATTGTTAGCATTATGTGTCTCCGAATTGATATACAATTATTTTTTCTGTTAACAATTTTGTATATAGTTTTCCTAATTGGGATAACGACAGTCTAATTTTTGTAAAAGTACCGATTCATTTAATACTGTGGGCCCATGTTAGAGCTGTTCAATGCCCTGGAACATGTAGCATGCTATAGTAACTTCTACACAAATTAGACTGTCTTCCGGATATACACTACATACCAATTTTAAACATTATCTGTAAAAGATCAAGGAGTGGTATGAACCCTCGTGCTAGTCATTCAATATTGTATAGTTCGATTTTTGTAAACTAGTTTTAGTTTTACATTTCACCTTGTGTAGGGGAACATAGTGTACAGATATTCCATGCTTAACGCATTTATCAACAATGTAGTATGTAAACCTGAAGAAAGATAGGAAGCATTACATTTCGGCAAATAGCTAGGTGGTGGCTATTTTCTACTTACCTTCATTTAAGATGGTACTGTGTTGGTGACAGATAGCTATCGGCATGGGTAAGTTTCTACTGAAACAGGTACTAAAAAATGATTCGTCTAACAATTGCTACGTTCACAATATAATGGGGAAATACATGTGGTCCCAAAACATCATGGGTTGTGACCTTTATCGGTAATGCACTTATCGATGTACAGCACATGCCAATCAGGACAACATTTCGAACCGTAACACAACCTTCACAGAATGCGTACGACTTCTTTTATAATATTCGAGTTAATGACAACAATGTTTAGAAACCAAATGCTACGTCATATACTAAGGACCAAATGCTACCCACCCTGTAAAGATTATGTTATGGTTGGCATGGTAATGCAGTATGCGTTTACTCACCAGTGAAGTGAAACTTTTATGGGATACTATGAAAGTTTGAAGATTGAGAGTAAACTCGTTGAGCAAACAAAGTCTATTAGGTGAGAGAGACGAGAGAGAAATAAGTGAAAAAGGAAAAATTATGTGAAGATCGGCACAAAGAGAAGACGCCGAAGTAATCTGTCAGCCATTATTAATTAATCAAGGAATTCATTTTTGTTTCAATTCAAGAATGTCATTAAATTCTTCGATTAATAATGGTGAAATTCATTAAATACCATGCAAAATTTCACTTTTGACGCATAGCTTTTGTTGTATCTGTTTTTCAAATTAGATATTGCTTTTTCTGCGATTCTAAAATCTCTAATATGGTGTTGTGGCGGACAATTGTATATATTTTTTGTAGATATTTCTTAAGCATTCTTTTTCATTATTTTACTTCAAATTCATTTCATTTCAAATATTATTTCATTTCAATTTCTTATCTTGTAAATACTTTGGTTTCCTTTCAATCTATTCTCTCAATCACTTTTACCCAGAATTCCAACTTCAACCATACCTGCATGCGCTCCCTTACTAATATCTGGTTTTACCCTTAATTGCTTTCTCTTGAATTCTGTACTATCTAATTCTGTGTATTCCTACAAGCTAGTGTCTTCACCCTCTCTCTCACTACTTTTCCTTCTAGAACATTCCATCAAAATTACTAACAACCCTGTCCTATAAATAGTCCAAAAATTCATATCTTTAGACAGTCTCTCGTCTACCGCTTCTCCTAACATTCGTAAGTGCTTTTATCTACTCTGTTTTATTGTTGTTGCCTTTGTCATTGTTATTGTTACTATTGTTGTATTATCTTGTTCTTTCTGTTACTTTGTTCTCGTTTGTCTGTTTCACTCCTTGTGCCTTTTTGTTAGTTGTGTTTTCGTTGTTATTGTTATAAATTGTTATTCGTTATTATTAGTGTTTTTTTTGATATCCACCAAAAGACACTAAAGTGTAATAGCAATCTTATCCACATTTACGTCCATAAGCAAATGGAAAGTGCATATAGCTCTTCCTCATACTAACCACAATTAAGGATATTAAATCGAAGGTTATCAATGAAAACACTCCTGCACTGGCACCAGCTAATCTTGCTTGCGGTGATGCTACGGATGAAGCTAAGGTTCCTGCTAGGACTCCTGTCAGGTAAACTAACAAAACTCTCCACCATCTGTGTGCCACTTCCAATGGGACACCAAAACGTATTTGACATATTAAATTGACTCCTAAGTGGGGCAACCTAAAATGAAAGCAAAAGACAATTATTTTTAAAGCGTTCTTGGGAAGAGAGAGAAAGAGTAACCGACAATAGAGAATTTAGTGTCATCTAACGGCGGGAAGGTGAACCCTTAGTGCATTTGAGACAAATTAATGACAGTACTTACCCGGTGTGCACAAGCAGGGGTGTCAAATACCTCCATAACTGGTACCTACGATGGGGGTTATACACCAGATAGGAAGCTATAGAATTAGGCTTTCTTGTGTTAGCCAACAGTCCTCGACAATCGTCAATTAGGTATGAAATAATTGCGAGAATTGCCAAAATAATCATCGCCATGGGCGGCGATTTGCAATATGTTATTGTATAGTTTCCAGGGATCCACCTAGGATCCTGACTTTCAGGGACAAGCGAGAAGTAAAATCTGAATAATAGAGAATAAAATCAAAAATCATTACAGTAAGGAAAAAGAATCACGTTGATGCAATGTTCTTTGAGATGATCATCTGAGGTTATTGAAGAAATGAATAGAGGGGTGCCAATGGGCTTTTCCGATTCCATTGCTGTTTTTTCCGACAAGGGGTGTCAAGTTTGACCAATATTGAAAACCTTTTCTTCAATTTTAAACATAGAAACACCGATTTCGACTAACTCGAGCATGACAATATTTCTCATAAAAAAAAACATCGATTTTACGACTTTCAATCACCACCTTTTTAATTCAAATGCTATTGGGTAAATTCTATCATATTCGTGTTATATATGCATGTTAGAATGTATAGGAATCGACTTCTCATCAAAAAGGGTCAAGAATTAGCCTTAGAAATCAATCTTGGTCAACTTTAACGCCCCGTGGTCGAAGAACTAATCATGAAACAGAAAAATGTTCCATTGAAACTACCCAAGAGCATACCCTCTATTAATGTGTGCAATAATCTCAAATCGCCTATCTTGAAGGACTTTGCGATACAGTGGCTTTTCTTCTTTGTTAAAATGTTAGTGGTGTAAAACAAGAATAATAGGTGGATGTTATAAACCGGAAGATGCTGACATGTCGCCATCTTCCGGTCTCCGATTTCATAAATATGCAGTATGGCTTTTTGAAGGTTAATATGATAACTTGAGATAACAAAGATAAAATGGTTCTTGACCGATGCACCCAAGCAATTTATAATGATAATGGCATTTTCATATGTGGAAAACGTTCATATTGTTCGGAAATATTATATTATCTGCCCGTTTAACAAAGAATTGTTAAAGAAGATGTAAAATATTAATGACGGAATGGATGCAATGCGTATTAATCTGAATTCATACCTGTGCATCCATGTCTGAACAAATTTTTTCACTTTATATAACGTGGTTTTCCTTCTGTAATTCTGGAATTGAAAAAAAGTATTTCAATATTGTAAAATCATCAAATGTCATACATATTTACTTTTTGGAGTTAAGGATTTTCAAGGAAATATCTTAATTTGTTTAAAAGCGAAATGATATGAGAGCTGTGACATATAGACAGACAATCAGACAAAACACCCAAAACCTTAAGCCTTCCTAGTTGACTATTGAATCTTTAAAATATGGTTCGAATCTCAATCCGTTATTCGTAAAATGTTTTTTCTACATTAGATTAGAATGTCTATTTGATTTGTACGTGATGGATTGCCACATGGAGAATTTTTCAGTTCCCTATGGACTTTCTGAAGAAAAGAACAAAATGATTGTTGACGTGACAAACCGCCCGGAAGTAACCATAAACGAAAATAAAATTCCTTCTTCATATCACAAAAATCACTAATCAGCACTTGTAATGTTAATAATTGTTATTGTCTATATTACTCAATAACTTCATGGATTACAAAAATCAAATTTTATCAAATGTACTAGTTGAAATACCACTTATATTATGTTAAAACACGTATTTTATAACTTTGCACAACTAATAAATTGTTTGTCTAACTAGAAATGCCTATTTTACTGCATTTATTGATGTTTATTAGTTTTATAAGAAGCTACGTATTATCTTTGAAGGTGCTATAATTTTTTCTTGTCAACAACGAATAATAGGTTTAATCATAAAAAAAAATCCAAATATATCTAATGAGATATTGCATATTTATTATACAATCATGTATATCTCGTTTTCAAGTAGTGATAACTCAAAGTAAAATAAATTTTATTAACAAACACCTAAATCGTTAGATAATAAATTGAATATCATTCCTTCCTCTACCTAAGNATTATCTGTGGAATATTACTGCCTCAGCATTTGCCTAGGTGATCGAAGGAAACCACAGAAAAACTTGGACCAAGGCAGACGGACCCGGAATCGAACCGGCGTCCTCCCGAATGCTAAGCAATGGTCTAAACCTCTAGGCCATGCCGCTCGGTGTAGGCATGACGGAAGGTCTCCTATAAGTATCGTGAGAATGAGTGAGTGTTGGGCATCGACGTTTACTAATGGACATGCCTTAGCGGTCAGAATTGTGGTACAACAAAAGAAAGAGATGGAACGATGTTAACATCGACGTTTACTAATGGACATGCCTTAGCGGTCAGAATTGTGGTACAACAAAAGAAAGAGATGGAACGAAGTTTCGGACAATATCCATCTCTCTTACGATAGTGCGTAAGCGTGTCATGAAAGAGATAGCACTAGTCTGAAACCATACGCCATCTCCCTCACATTTTTAGCCAAGAAATTATTACAACGACATACGGCTAAGGCACGTCCATTAATATATGTCTATGGTTTTGGGTGATGGTAATTAAGGGACCGACGAAGATGCACGAAATGAAGCGAGTAGAAGTAGGAAAAGTTATGTGTCTATGGAATAAAAGAGAATATAACAGGAAATCAGATACCTCAGTATGGAAACAAAGAAATATTAGATTAGTTAAAGAATTAACGTATTAGAGATTAGAGCAATATGGCAGACAGTGGTATAAGTCTAGAGGAAATGAGTAATGCTTATTAGGGAGAAGTTAATAGATTAGTGAAAGATCATCTGTGGAATAGTAGTTGGAGATGATATCTAGACAATCGGAAACCTCAGGATGGAAACAAAGAATAACGAAATGGTGCAAACTGACAGATAGTAGTATAAGCATTGTATGGAAATGAGCGATGATGATCAGAGGGAGATCCGGGAAAAGACAGTAAATTAGTGAATGATTTTATCTGTGGAATACAGTTGGAGATGAAAAACGTAAGGAATCGATATCTAGACAGTCGGATACCTCAGGATGGAAACAAAGAATAAGTAGTGTAAGCATTGTGGGGATTCGCGATGGTGATTAGGGGGAGATCCGGGAGAAGACAGTAAATTAGTGAATGATTTTATCTGTGGAATACAGTTGGAGATGAAAAACGTAAGGAATCGGTATCTAGACAGTCGGATATCTCAGGATGGAAACAAAGAACAGCGTATTGGTGCAATGTGGCAGGTAGTGGTATAAGGAATGAGTGATGATGACCAGGGGAGATCAAGGAGACAGAGAAAATAAAAACAGTAGATTAGTGAAAGTTTATCTGTGAAGTAGTAGTTAAAGATGAAAAAACTAAAACATTAGTATGTAAATAATGATTAGCATAGAGTCGAGTCGTTTTTAACAAAATGAAACAGTTATATGCTCGCGAGCGGTTAATTGGGAAATTCAAAAAAGGTTTTTTTTATTATACAATCATGTATATCTCGTTTTCAAGTAGTGATAACTCAAAGTAAAATAAATTTTATTAACAAACACCTAAATCGTTAGATAATAAATTGAATATCATTCCTTCCTCTACCTAAGTATTACTTATGCCATCATTTTTAAAATTACAACAGCAAATCCTTCATTTCTGTTTTTGAATAAAGTAGGATTATGATCAGCAATACTATTGATGTTGCAAGGAGGTGGAATTATTATACAGGTAACGATAAAAGAACAAAGAGGATGATATTTTTAAAAAGTAAATCTTTCAATAAACTTACCCCTTCTAATGCAAATGGATACTCATCATGCTTGCCTCGATGGCGCTCTTCTTGAAGATTTTGAAGATTTTTTATTACTAATGCCATTTCTTCTGAACCCATTATTGTTTTCCTTTGTATGAAAATCTGAGGAATTTCTTTTTATTAAACTTATCAATTTCTTTCAATTTCCTCTTTTAATAGAACCAGGAAGGTTTGAATGGGTCAGTAGATTTCACTATTCTTTAAACTTCAAAACTATAGCAAGAGCCAATAAACTATACTGTGCTGATACCCGTTCGTTCTCTTCTAGTAATGAAACGAACAAAGGTATGTCAACCTGTCTATGACATCAAAATCTTTTGCAAAATCTGATAAGATATCGATAATAATTTTTTATTGATAAAAGGAAGATCGACAGACACCTGGTAGTTAATCATGTACCTTTTGATCAAAATTAAAAATCACTTAAAAATTGAAAGTTGTTTTTTTTTTTACTATCAAGTAATTTGAATCGGGTTTTCAAAAATGTAAAAGAACGGTATTGGTATGTGTAATTGGTAATGAAAAATACTAACTAATATTTTAGAAAATAGCTGAGTACCTATCAAGAAATTCGAATGCTGTTCGAAAGTATATGATACGCCTTCTTGTGTCCTTGTTTTTTGATAAGATTTGTAATAATATTTACGTATATTGGCAGATATCCATTCAAAATTTATATCTAATGGATGATACCGTGATTAGTTTAGTGACATTAAAGGATTCAATCCAACTGTAGGTAATTTCCAAAATCAGAAACACCTTTCGAGAACTGTGACGTCCAACAGGAAACACCGCTTCAAGGGTGGAGGGGGAGATTGTCGATTGGGGTACCGAAGTACATAGCTCCCTTCTGTTTTATGACTTGTTCCACCCATCAAATTGTTGACAGTGGTGAGCGGACTATTCAAGCGATCCACATTTTGATGCAAAGTGCTAGGCATGAAAAAACAACTTAAAAACTTTTGGGTGTTTCATTCCCATCAGCCAGTAATGCTGGTGGACGGACAGTCCCTCCGGACTAAGCCGGAAGGTAGGGCGGAAGGCCCTCTTCAGCCTGCTTTCAGAAATCGTGGGAATGGGTGGGGGTGGTTCAGGTGAGAAAGATGAGACGGACGAAATGAAGACAGAAGAGAATGAAAGATTATCTGTGGAATATTACTGCCTCAGCATTTGCCTAAGTGATCCAAGGAAACCACAGAAAA